TCTGGTCAGAGATTGATCCTCAGGGCTTTGGGGGGTGGGACAGACCCACAGATCCGGGCTCTGGCTGCAGCGTGCTGTTCCTGCAGGTTTTCCCCTCAGTGTCTCCCTCCTGCTTTACTCCGTGCCCCTGCCGTGGTCTGTGCAGTGCCCGCTCACCCCAGGCAGGGTTGGCACCTCCGTGGGCGCTTTCCCTGCCTGCCCCCGTGTGCTGCCCCTCCGACCCGGGACATTTTTCTCTGATGAGCTTTGCTCCCCGCCTCGCACTTCCTCAGCTTTTATGGGCATGGTGGCCAGGCCCTGGAGGCTGTCAGGGAGCTGGGAAGTGTAAAACCTTTGGGAAGGCTTCCCAAAAAAGCTTTGGGAAGGCTTCCAGGCCCCTTACGCAGCTGGGGCCGAAGCAGAAATGTTTTAACTAAACAAACGAGCTGCGGGCTGGGTCACTGTGGCAGCCAGAGGTGCTGGCTGCTGTGCCCAGCTGCTTCCAGATGATTCTCCCTGCATTTCCAGCTTCCCTGGAAACCTCCCCCACCAGGGAGAGCCTTGCCCTGGTGGGATTTCTGCTTTAGGAGCTGCATGCCACTGACATTTCTTCCAGTGAGAACGAGGAGCTGGAGCTCCAGCAGTGGGTTTGATGTTTTCTAGAGGTTTTCCAGCAGTGGGTTTGATGTTTTCTAGAGGTTTTCCAGCAGTGGGTTTGATGCTTTCTAGAGGTTTTTCTAAATGTCTTCATCCAGAGAGCAGGAGGAGGCTCTGGAGCCTCGTGGATTTGCTCTTGCTCCACTTTTCCTGGGAATGGGGGAGCTGGGGGTGTTCAGCCTGGAAAAGAAAAGGCTCTTGGGAAACCTGAGGGTTCAAATAAGAGGGCAAAAAAAGGAACGAGGCACAACTTTGAGCCAAATAACAAGGAAAAAAGAAACAAGCCACATCTTTGAGCAACATTAGAAGGAAAAATGGAATAAGACACAATCTTTCTGTAATGCTGGGGCTCCTCAGTTTGCTTGGATCAGCTCCAGGGACTCGTGGGGGTGTCCCAAGGGCCTTGAGAGCCACCGGCTTGGCCTGGACACCAGAACTGGGCTCAGAACCAGTCCTGGCTCTGGCTGCTCCACAGAGCAGCTTTGCAGCCCCAGAGCTGCTGCCTGTGGGAGGTTTTGGTGTGGCCAGGCCCCAGCAGGGCTGGCCACGGCATCCAGGAGCTGCTCCAGCCTTCCTCTGCCTGCCTGAGCCCTCCTCCTCCTCCCACGTCTTTCCCTGCGTGCTGCAGACCCAGCTGTCCCTGCTGGTTTTTCCATCCTGCCCAGGCCAGCAGCTGCTTTTAATCCTGCCTAATGAATCCCTTCCCCTTGAATCCTGCCTAATGAATCCCTTCCCCTTGGCCTGGGAGCTGCTGGCAGCGCTCCTGGTGCCTCCTGCACCGTGACCCAGTTCCCAGCTGGGAGAGGGGGACCTGGCCAGCCTTTGGGGTTCTGGGGGGCAGCCAGGGCCCCAGCAGG